AATTATTGTTTTTCAAAATTTCATTTATTCAAATATTCTTCTTAGAATTAATTATTTTTATTATAAATAGATCAAACATTTTGAATATTATTATATAGATTGTAATAATTTTCAAGATATTCTATGATTATTTTTTGTGTTATTAAGAATATTCGTATAATCGCATGATTGTTAAATGCAATATATAATTATTATATTCATTAAAATAATAAATTTTTCACTAATGATTAATTATATTTACGAATTCATCAAACTTAAGTAGCAAACAAGTTACAAAAGAAATTCTAAAATTATTCTTGTAAATTATATCGATGGCCCCTAAATGAAAACACGTTTTTCGCGAGTGCAGATAGGAAACACTTTATTAAGAAAAACAAATAGAAAACATCTTATTCAAAATGACAGTTGTTTGAAGGCTATGTTACAATTTTAATTAATGGTTATTTTTAAAGTATGAATGATACATTAAAATTTAAATTAATTTAAACGTTTATGTTGTGTCAAACTAACGTTGTATCCTTAAATTACTTTATTTAGACATTTGATATTGGCTTAAAATAAAAACATAGCAAAAGTTAAGAAAATTAGGTTACAAAATTTTCAGATGAGTTTTCTATTTTTTTTCGTAAATAAGGGTGTTTTTTGTTTGCTCTCGCGAATAACGTGTTTTCATTTAGGAGCCATCGATATAAATTCTCAATGTAACATTAATAATTAAATCCATCTTTATTTTATTAATTCATTAATTTATTTCTTTGTTAAAGTAAGACAAAATAAATATTTCGAAGTCAAACTTATTAGCTTTATTAAAAGTTTTCATAGTTTTTTTAAAATTTATTCCATCCAATTTTCAATTTATTATTCAATTAATTCAATTCGTTTTATGAATTTTTATTTGTTTAATATTTAGTACAATTTTTAAAAAACTTTTCAGTTAATCGTTTAATTTTTTTAAGGATTTTCTTTTTTTCCCACACATCACATTATATTTCATAAACATTTCATGAATATTTCATTGAAAGATTTGAAATATTTCAATGCAAGGTTCATGAAATGTTGATGAAAACAGGAAAATGTCCGCCTATAAGAAATATTGCCGTGAAATTTTGCTGAAATATTACACATGTTTAAGACTCCTGCAATATTACAAATGAAGACTCTGCAATATTCAGAAAATATTTCAAAGAAAGTTAGAAACTTTTTTAAAATATGAAGTCAATCGTTATTTCCTAACATGTTCAACACCTTAGGGTCCTTAGCATCATTTAAGTTGGAATTTTTCTATAATATTTTAATGAAATATTTCAGCAAAATTACCCGGCAATATTACTTATAGGCGGACATTTCCCTAATTTCAGCAATATTTCAAGGACTTTACATTGGAATATTTCAAAATTTCAATGAAATATTTCAGAAATATTTAGAAAATATCATGTGCTGTGTGTGTTTATACGTTATTTTCTCATTTTGTTGTTAAGTTCCTTTATAATTTTTTATCATTCTTTGCTCATTTAATAAATTTTATAGTTTTTCATAATTTTTTCATTTCTTAGAAATGTTGTCCCTTCTCTAAACTGAATAACTTTTTCCTTATATTATTCTTTTTTAATAGATTCTAGTCAGTTTTTTTTGCATTTTTTCCTGTATTTTTATAAATTTCCCAATCGTTCCTATATTTCAATAGTTTTTTGTTCTCTTATAATATTTTCTTTAATTTTTTAAAAATATTTCTGTAAATCATTTCAATTTTTTTTAATTTTCAGATTCTTTTTATATTCGTTTATAAATTCTTCTATTTTCTTACAACATTTTATTTTATACAATTTTTAACATTTCATAATTTTTTTAAAATTTAAAGCTGTTTAGTTTTTGTTTTGGGCATTTTTAAATATTTTAAGCTTTTTTCGTTCTTTAAAGCTTTGTTCTTACATTTTTTAAACTCCTTCATTTTATGAATAATCTTCTTAACTTTCTTATATTTTAAGAATTTTCTTTTCTTAACATTTCTATAGTGTGTTTTACAAAACTTAAGTTATTAGGATTTTTATAATTATTAAACTGCTTAATTTATTAAAAATTTGTTGGCTTATATTTTTCTCATCTTTTTGATAATTTACTTTACTTTTTAAATTTTGTATTCATGATTTTTTAGATATTTTAAAAAGTATTCTACATTTTTAAAAATTTGTGAATTATTTTTTAATAAATCTTGTTATTTTCTCTTATCCCTAGATTTATTCTTTTATTTATATTTTTATATATTTTGAACCATAAAAAAAATTATTGCAAACTTGTTTTGCTTATCACTACAAAAAAATAAAATATCAATAAAAATTAATTTATTTATAAATTATTTAATTTTATTAGTGAAAGTAATACTTTTTTTATTTATAATGAAGATTCAAAAACAGAAATTTAAACAAGCCTATTGGCAGATATATCCTGGACAAAAGATCCGGATAATATGTCAGGAATATTGCGAGCACTATGCTGGCACAGTCGGTCTTGTCATAAAGTAGGTGGCACAAAAGGTGCGTTACAGCAGGGACACGGTCCGCCGCTCGTTGTGCCTGTAACGTGCCAGACACGTTTGTTATCTGGGACTTAATGAAAAAAAGTAACTAGTCCCTATTGAAAAAAAACACGTATAATTGTACGTATAATAATACGTATAATTATACGTATAATAATACGTATAATTAATTATACGTATAATAATACGTATAATAATACGTATAATTATACGTATTATTATACGTATAATTATATGTATTATTATACGTATAATTATACGTATAATAAGACATACGAATTTGAAACAAGAATTATACGTATAATTATACGTATATTAATACGTATAATTAATTATACGTATAATAATACGTATAATTATACGTATTATTATACGTATAATTATAATTCTATTAAAAATAGAATAATAGAATAGAATAGATTAATTAGTAGCAAAATTGCGCTGAAAATTTTTAGAAATTTTAAAATGCAAATTAAATTTCACGAAAAAAAATATCGTCGAATGTCAATTCAAGCAGTCACCCATCCAAGTACTAACCGCGTCCAACGTTGCTTAACTTCCGTGATCTGATGAGAACTTGTTCCTTCGCCTTGGTGTTTCCGCTGTCTTGTCTTGATTAATAACTTTGTCGTATAAGTATTGTATCGCACCTAACCTCACTTTTAGTGATACTTATACGACAAAGTTATTAATCAAGACAAGACAGCGGAAACACCAAGGCGAAGGAACAAGTTCTCATCAGATCACAGAAGTTAAGCAACGTTGGACGCGGTTAGTACTTGGATGGGTGACTGCTTGAATTGACATTCGACGATATTTTTTTTCGTGAAATTTAATTTGCATTTTAAAATTTCTAAAAATTTTCAGCGCAATTTTGCTACTAATTATTCTATTATTATTCTATTCTATTATTCTATTTTTAATAGAATTATAATTATACGTATAATAATACGTATAATTATACGTATTATTATACGTATTATTATACGTATAATTAATTATACGTATTATTATACGTATAATTCTTGTTTCAAATTCGTATGTCTTATTATACGTATAATTATACGTATAATAATACGTATAATAATACGTATAATAATACGTATAATAATACGTATAATAATACGTATAATTATACGTATTATTATACGTATAATTATACGTGTTTTTTTTCAATAGGGGTTACTGTTACAGTTACTTTTAGAAAAAAGTAACTCGTTACAGTTACTTACAAAGTAACTTAAGTTACATTTCAAGTTACTGAAAAATTATTTTAAAATTTGTCTTATCGAAATTCAATTTTTTTATTAAATGGGAATTAAATTAAAATGTTTAATATAATTGTAATACATGTATTTATTCAAGTTCTTCATATAGATTTGCATTCATTTTAATAAAAGCATCATCTATTCTTTCCCCTAAAGTTTTACGTGTAAAAATTTTTAAATTTCCTGGTAATCCAAGTAACACTAGGTCTTTAAAAGATAATTTTTCTACAACACTTCTATTACATAATCCATAATTTTTTTATCCAATATTTTTTGAGTAACTAGCTTTGAATCGGAAGTCCAGTTTTCCAAAAGAGTTTGCTTCTTATTTGACTGTGATGAAGAATCTAAGAATTGTTCTTCGAATTTTCTCTTTTTTTTCTTTCGCTATAGCTGCTTCTAATTCTTTAACGCATCCAAGCATTTATTTATAAAATTTTTAAAAATATTATCATTATTAGAAAATTAGTTTTTATAATCATGGATTTTGTTTGCCATTTTAAGAATTAATTTACAAATCAATTAATAAGGTACAATTTCGACACGGGATTGATAAAAATTATTTTCATAAACTCTTAAATAAAAGTCTATATAAAACTTCCGAATACAATTAAATTAATTAATTAAAATCTTATTTTAAAAAATCTTGTACACTGTTTAAATTATGCAGGTAAATCCCCTATATTGCAACAGTAAACCAAACGAATACAATGGAACACGAGCACATGAAAAATAGAATGTAAACACTCGGTACAATGCGCAGCATGCGAGCGCAGAGGCCATATTCTTTTGCTATCACTTTGCGCGCTTGTTTGAAATACGAAATTATTCAGTTTTTAAAGCAATAAAAAAGTGCAAAGAAAGTAACGAAATAACTTAAAATTAAAAGTTACTATTAAAATAGTAACTAAGTTACATTACAAGTTACTTTTAAAAAAAGTAACTTAGTTACGTTATAAGTTACAAGTAAAGTAACTTTTTCAGTAACTTAGTTACTAATAACTAGTTACTACCCAACACTGGTAAAAAGGTTGAAACTGTGGTCTCATTGACGGTTTAGGAACAGGATGTAAATGAGAGTGGGATTTAAATTCATTTTCAGATTGATGTTGATATGGAGGTTGAGATTTTTGTCTTATTACCGGTTCAGGTTGAGATTCAGATTCATAAAGAGGTTGAGAGTTCGGTCTCATTGGCGGTTAAGGATCAGGATGTGATACATAGCTGGATTCAGATTCATAAAGAGGTTGAGAGTTCGGTTTCATTGGCGGTTTAGGATCAGGATGTGATTCATAGCTGGATTCAGATTCATAGAGAGGTTGAGATTTAGATCTCATTGTCGGTTTAGGATAAGGATGTGATTCATAGCAGGATTTAGATTCATAGAGAGGTTGAGATTTTTGTCTCATTGGAGGTTCAGGTTGTGATTCAGAGCGAGATTCAGATTCTAGGAGGAGATGAGATTTTTGTCTCATTAGAGGTTTGGGATCAGGTTGTGATTCAGAGCAGGATTTAGATTCATAGGCAGGTTGAGATTTTTGTCTCATTGGAGATTCAGGCTGTGATTGAGATTCTTGGAGGAGTTGAGATTTTTGTCTCATTAGAGGTTCGGGATCAGGTTGTGATTCAGATTCATAAAGAGGTTTTTGTCTTACTAGGGGTTTAGAAGTAGGTTGTGATTCAGAGCGGGATTCATATTCATAAAGAGGTTGAGATGTTTTTCTCATTGGACGTTTAGGATCAGGTTGTGATTCATAGCAGGATTCATATTCAGATTGAGGTTGATAGTCAGGTTGGTAAAAGGGTTGATATTGTTGTTGGTGTTGATATTTAGGAACTGTCTGAGATTGAGGCTGAAAATACATTTGAGATTCAAATTGAGATTGATGGACAGGTTGAGGTTTTTTTTACATCTTCATGTTTAGAATCATGATGAGATTTTGATTGAAATTGCAACTGAGATGGAGATAAAGATTGTAATTGTTGTTGATAGTGAGTTTCATAGAGCGGTGCTTGTTGTTGATGTTGTTCCTCGTTTAATTTTACTTTCTTTTTGTTTTGTAGTTCCTTTTTTCCCATATTTCCTTTTATTAGAAGCTACTTTGTTTATATAATTTATATTGGGATCTGACATGGGGGCGGGGCCTAAAGCAATATGGCGTAAATTGGGTAACACTTTTAGTGAATTTACATAGGAATAACATGGGATGCATGTTTAAAAATCGTTTTTAAAATCGTTTAAAAAATATTGCTTAATTTAATAAATGTATAAGTGAATTTTTTTAATACAAAATTACTATTTACATTCCTATTTACAAACATGAATAAAAATATAAAAGAAATCTTATTTTTATACAAATTATTTTCTCAAATCCAGCGATACTTGTGCAAGAAAAGTATTGTATTTTCCTTTATATTTCATGTAATTATATGAAAATTTATAAATGTATGTATTTCATTTTTCATTGTAAAAGTCTGTTAACAAGAAGTGAAAAAAAAATTTATTTATCCGTTTTTAGTGATAAATTAACTTTCAAAATGTTCACATGCACGGGTAATATGAAAGATTATATAACCTCCAAATTTTAAAATCTTAAACTTACATGGCAAAATGTAATCACTTCTTTTGAAATGCAGAGAACATACTTTATACTGTTTATTTTTAAAGCATTTTTCCAGGCCTTTAATTGATCGACTTTTTCAAAATTATCGAACGTATTTTTCACATCCACTACTCGTTGTTTTGGTTTCGGAAATTTATGGAAAATTACGCTTAAATTTTTCGCTACAGTACTACCACAGCCTCTCACAGAACACTTAATTCTGCAGGAAGATTTCTCACGCGGTAAAAATGTAGCTTCATTCATAATGATAAAATAATTAACAATGACAGCGGAACTACAATTGCAAGTGACACAAACAGTTATCCAAAACTAGTTACATTTTTCAACACCAGATGGCATGTGTACGAATGTCAGATCCCAATAGTCTGCTTTATTTAGCTTTGCACCGTGGTCTAATAAACTTATTGCCCACTCTAAAAGATAAATTATTTATATTAATTTAAGCATATTAAATGTATTTAATAAATTCGTATCTTACCCAACCAAAAATGAGTTTCATATTATTTTTATTATTACGATATTAAATAGAAATGTAGTGAAACAGTTCTTAATTTCATATTGGGTATAATTATAATTTGAAAAAAAAAATTATTATCAAAAATTGCTTGAAATAATCGATAATTAATAGCTGGGCGACTATTAACTCCTTTTCCAGTTGCGCTATATTTTCTTATTTCAGATCTGTAGATTTCTAATAGTATTAATCGGACTAGTTTTTTCCAATCAAATTTTCCGTCAGTGTAGGAATTCATTTCAATATATGCTTTAGTTGTACTTCTGATGTAAATGCCCGATTCTCTACCAATTTCTACCTATAACACATAAATGTAATTTATTTATTTATTAAATAAACAGAAGTTTACATTAGAAACATTTAAGTTATCCTCTATTCTCTACTTAATAATTCGTCTTTTATATTTACCTTGCATTCATTAGGAGTCGTAAATTGTTCTGAAATCTAAAAAGTTAATTAGTTAATTAATAAAGAATTTAGGACTTTAAATTATATTAATAAATAAATAAATTAATTTACCTTGTAATTTATGTTTGATGTATTTTTTTGCTCAGAAATGTATACTTTTTCCATCAGTTCTAGAAGCCTTTTGACAAAGATCATATTTTCTACTGAAACTGAAAATAATATATAATGAAAACAAAAAAGTAAAAAAATACCCACACGGTTAAATGTAACTAACTTACCACCACCGGGAAACAAAAATGAAAATTCAGCAGCTGCTATATTGGATTCATTATTTTTACAATTTTTGGTTTTTTTGTCTTCAATTACTTTATTATTTTCATTATTATATTTATCAATGCCATCCTTATTGTTGTTCGTTCTATTGATATTATATTCATCATCATCGGTAGAATAATCATCATCATTACGATAACAATCATCACGATAATAATCTTCGCAATAATAATCATCATTTATTTCTTCATTATAATTATTATTATTATTGACACCATAATGGGTTGAGAAGTTTGTACAATCAGTGTTCGAAATATAGTGAGAGGAAGTAGTTTCGTAATTTTTATTTAAATTTTCTTTATTTACCGTTGCAGAAGTTAAATTAAAAGTTTTAGGCAATATAACTTCGCTCTTTTTTACTGGCTTATTTATATAAATAGTGTTATTTTTCGTTAATAAACTTTTTTTAGATTCTATTTTTAATAGAGATGGTTTTTTCTTTATTAAATTAATTGAATGATTAACTCCTTCAATAAAAGTACTCATTTTTAAATCATAAAGTGTATCTGAGTTTTTAATTTCCCGTTGAAGTTGTTTGCTAGAATCTTGTCGGGATTTCTTTACTGATTTTTGCAATTTAAAAAGACGTTTTTTTCATCTAAAACTTCTTTTTCGAATACTTTTGTGTTTTTATCACCAATATTGCTATTACCCAAGTAGCACGATATATCAACCAGATGTCAGGGTGATATCACCGGGGAATGTCAGCGTGACATCAGGAAAATGTCAAAATGTCCGCCTTACGGTGATATCACGCGGTGACATCGAGGTGATATCATGGTGACATAAAGGTGATATCACAGTCATATCACGGTGATATCATGGTGATATCACCGTGATATCATGTTGATATTTTACAGGGATTTAAAATTTTTAAAAAATTATTATTTTTTATTATTTTTTTTATTTATTATTATTTTTTAAATTATAATAAAATAAAATAATAAACAATAATAATTTTTAAAAAATTTTAAATCCCTGTAAAATATCAACATGATATCACGGTGATATCACCATGATATCACCGTGATATGACTGTGATATCACCTTGATGTCATCATGATATCACCTCGATGTCACCGTGTGATATCACCGTAAGGCGGACATTTTGACATTTTCCTGATGTCACGGTGACATTCCCCGGTGATATCACCGTGACATCTGGTTGATATATCGTGCTACTTGGGTAGTATCAGCCAGAACTTTTTCCAATTCTGTTACAGATTCTGCAAATAAATATATATATATATATATATATATACATATACATGTACATAATATTTTGCATTAAAAATTTTTTAAATTTGTGTTTACATTTTCCATTATTTCAAATAATCGCGCGTCCTTCGGATGGTCTTCCCCTCTGTCTCAAGCCTGCGCATAACCCACCATATCCCGACTTACCTAAGCTCTCCCCCCCTCTCTCTCTCTTCCTCATTAGGTGTTCTTGAAGGTATACTAATTTAAGTTAGGCAGCGAAAATGTATAAGTGACTAAAATTTCTATAGGTATTTCAGGTATAAATCCTGCTTGCTTACTTTCTAAATCAAAACTTGCAAGACGTCAGTTAGAAATTAACAATATTCAGTTTAGGAACATCGAAATTGACATATTCATGCATTCATTTAAGTTTAATAGTTAAACATCATTAATTTTTAAATATTTGTTAAATCTACTTTTTCTTAACAATATTAAGAAAATCATTTAGGGATTTGTCAGCAAAAAGGCAAAAAATATACGCAAAGAATATCATCACTGTAGAGGGAGAAATTCAGCGCCAGAAACAATGCGAAGAACAAAATCAGGATAGTGAAGTATCGTCTGCAGCATTAAAGACTTAGAGAAACAAAATTTTCACGCAAGCTTGCACTAGTATTTTAAATAAGCGTGTAATATTACCAAAATATAATATTACTGTGATGTAACTGTAATATTAATGTAATGTTACTGTGATATTACTGTAATGTTAATGTAATGTTATTGTGACATTACTGTAATATTATAGTAATATTACTGTAATATTACTGTAATATTACTGTAATATTACTGTAGTATTACCGTAATATTACTGAAATATTACTGAAACTCACTTGTGTGAGTAAGGGGAGAATGAGTTATAAAATTAGATTTCTAGAGAATTAGAGAGTGGGTAGTGTTTTAACACATAAAGATGTAATAATTATGAATTTTCACGTGCAGGTTAACTGTCATAAAAGAGATAACAATCACGCTGAAAATGATTTAAATAAACATATGACACATTATTCAAATCAAGATAAAAATGTGCAGCCAAATTTTAATACAAGTGAAAGGGAAGAAGAAATGGAAGTTGATTATTCTAATCCATATTTTAATCAACAACTTATAAATGAAGAACAGAACGCAATGGAAACAGATGAAGCAGAACATGGCGCAGTAGATGAAGGTGATAAAGATGTCGAAGAGGAAAAAGATGCTGAAGAAGAAACAGCAAATGATGATGATCATTTATATGATGGTTCACCAATAACAATTGCACAAAGTATGCTTTTAATTTTAACAATTTTTTTAAGACATAATGTAACTCTTTCTTGTATTTCTGACATAATTAGCGTTATTAATTTATATTGTCCTTCAACTAATTTATATAAAAATAGCTTACATAAATTCAAAAAAATTTTTTCTTCTTATAAGAATGAATAAAAAGCCTACATTAAACATTATTATTGTTCTTTTTTTTGAATGGCTAGCTTCAGGTAATGATTTTTGTATTGATTGTAAAGAAATTAGTAAAAGAAAGAAAAGATACTTTCTTGAATTATCTATATTTGATCAGTTACAAAAAATGTTTAAAAGGAAAGGTTTTTATAACAAACTACAACACCGATTTCCAAGATCTGCTGCTTCAGAATCTGATGATATGTACGACTTGTACGATGAAAATTTATATAAAATGTTGTATAATGAAGAAAGTTTTAACAATTTAAATAATATTTCTTTTACGTGGTATACAGATGACGTTCCTGTTTATAGTTCGTCACAAGTTAGTATGTGGCCTTTTTATTTAACTATTAACGAATTGCCTTTATGTTTGTGCTCCGGTGAGTCAATATTATTAGATTCAGGGGGGAAAACTCGTGCGTATTCTTAGGTTGAAAATCCTAAACTGCGAACAATTAAACAATATCTAAAAGATTCTGATGAGGCATTAACTAAAAAAA